AGAATGAGTTTCACAAGTTTGAGCCCACGTCCTTCAGCAGCGTCCAGCGAATCGTGCGCCGTTCCGAATTCCTGCGCAAATTCGAGTTCGGCGAGCTTGCCCGGAAGGACGTCCCGGATCCTCGGAAGGACCCGCGGGAACGCAGGCCGACGCCCGAGAGCCCCTTCAGTCGTCTGGACGAAGGTTATTGGAGACACTACGAGGTCCCGGACTCAAAAATGGCTTATCGGAAGAAGGGTAACTTTATAGGCAGGCACGAAACGAGGAACCTCTCCGACGAGGAGCGCAAGACGAACTCTCCCGACAGCCTCTTGATGAAGTCCTCGGAGTCCGAATTGAGCAGCGACGATTACGGGCACACTGACGATTCTGGAGCGTTTCTGGAGCAGGCCTCGCATTCGGACCGGCAGCCGAAGGCGAAGAGGAGCAGCTTCATCAAGTTTTTCGCGAAGGACAGCGGCAGAGAGAAGAAGAAGCTGGACTCCGAGCACCTGGACGTAAACAAGAACATCAGACAAGGCTCGGAACCCTTGAAGAAGGAGACCTTTGGCCAGCAGAAGTTCGAGTACGAAAATATCCCCCGGATAGACATGTCCAAGTTGGACCAGAAGACCTTCCTGCATCCAATCGCGCGCGCGAACGATCGTCAGCCGACCATCGAGCAGCTCAGGATCGAGGAAGGTTGCGAGCTGAGGAATTCCAAGAATATGGCAGCCTTGAAGAATGCTCGGGAGAAGAAGCCGGTTCAGCAGAAGCCGAAGGATGAGGAGGCAAGGACGAACGATAATTTGATTCAGGAGGTCTACGACGGCGAGCAGATTATCGTGCGGACTAACGGTGAACGCAAACTAGCGAAGATGGAGACCATCACCGAGGAAAATGCGGACGGGAGCAAGCTGAGCGTCCGGGAAATACTAAAGAGATTCGAGGAGCTGAGAACGCAGACCGATACAGCGGCAGCGTGCAACGACAGCGAGGCGCAGAGCGAGGACAAGACGAGCGACAAGACGCTCAATACCATACAGGAGACCTTGAAGAAATTAGACGAGAAAGTCAAGAGCTATCAGGTCGCTTATTCCGTTCTCGTAACGTTTATTATTAGCCAGGAATTTGAGCGTCAAGGCTCCCCGTACACGGGATATAATAAATTAAATCAAACGGACTGTTAAATGATATCAAATGGAGCGCGAATGTTTCGTGTTAATAGACCCAGGTGCGTGCAGCGTGGTACAAGTAAAAAAGAACTTAGATTAATCAGGTGATGCAGCGGTACTTCCTTTTTATCAACAGGCGACTCGCATAATTTTCTAATAAACATCTCAAGGATGTCGCCAACTTTTTTTATTATTTGGCTGTTAAGAGAAGAGGCTATTAATTTTAATCGTCGATTAAAAAGTATAAATACCTCTCAAGAGAGACGATTCAAGGCCACTTCCTAAGTCGATGCACATACGACTGAGGAGTTGCTAGAAGTACATAATTATTTCACAACGAGTGGACAGAACTGAATTAATTAAAGATGAAACTCGTTATTGTTATTAACACGTAATGCGAAAAGAATACATACGAATATTAATATTATAAAATGTATGGCTAAAAGATATACGTGGTGTGATCAGAAAGTATCGAAAGAAAGTACTGGTTTATAACTCGACTAGTTTAGGCGATAGGAATTCGTCCCTGCGCGTCAATTTTACCTGTTTCTGCTCTTCGTAACACAAAGGCCGGCCTTCAGCACCCTTCGAGCGCCCCCCAAACAAACACGTGCAACCGGACCTACGTCGCACTTTCTTTAGCGCGTAAAATATCGGGAGAGAAACTCAGCTAGAGAAACTAAGGATACTATTGCATTTGTCGCGCGAAACATTTTTTAAGCGTGCTGATTAGCTGCAAGCTAGTGCATTTCTAGACACTCGACAGCTTTTCTATCCCGCGGCCAATCAACGCGCTTGAAAAATTTGTCGTACGACGATGCAACGGCAGCGTGAGAGTTCTATTACATTTGTCGTACAACAAATTTTTTAAGCGTGTTGATTAGCTGCAAGCTGGAAAATTATTAGACACCCGAGAAGTTTTCTATCCCGCGGCCAATCAACGCGCTTGAAAAGTTTGTCGTACGACTATGTAATGGCAGCGTAAGGGTTCTATTATATTTATCGTACAACAAATTTTTTAAGCGAGTTAATTAGCTGCAAGCTAGAAAATTTGTAGACACTCGAGAAGTTTTCTATCCTGCAGCCAATCAACTTGAAAAATTTGTCGTACGACAAACGTAATACTATCCTAAAACTTGGAAAAACTGCCACGGGGACTTTTGACACGTTGAACATTGTTTCCGATGAAGAATCTATGAATCCCGCACGTGAGAAATGACTCGTCGATCGATGTCAAAACGATGTCGAATCGACGTCGTTTCGATCCACGAATCATTTCTCACTGGAGTGTGGTTTAAAGATTCAAAGAACATTGAACCTCCGTTGAAAGACCCGTGGTCTGATTCTTTGGCCCGTGTATTCCGAATCCCCTTTTATCGACAAAAGTGGCTTGTAGCCAATCAGAAGGCTTATCAGTCACCTTTAAGGACACTTTTATTGATAAAAGAGGGTTCAGAATACAGGCCTTTCTCTTCTATTCTGCGCGCTGAGGGAATTGCGAAGGTGCACGTGTTCGTTCGTGGGATGCCGGCTACCAATTGAAAGTCGCAAATTCGAAATTCTAGGTAAGATCTATCGCGCGGAGACGCATCTCCACCGTCGAAATTAGTCGAGTTATACAATCAGTTTGGATCGCGCCACGTACATATTTTCGAAATAATACCCGTCTGACTATATGGCGCTTTTGAAAAACGACTGGGTGCGATATTTTCTGACATTAATAACCGTAACTGTACCTCGGAAGAATTCCAGATAAATTCACCGATGGAAATGAGCGCCCATATCGCGCACTTTCGAAGATACATATCCCCGAGGCGAGTGTCCGAATTTTCGAGTTTCTAAAACATTTTTGCAAGTATAAAAGCATAAATGTGTACGCGTATTCTTTTCGCGCTAATTTATGTGCCAATAAAAATGCCGAGTTTCTTCTGCGCGGTGGCGCGTTCAATTCATTTCGTCCTGTCCACTCGTCAGTAGAAAATAGCAGCTATTTATTTTCAACAACTTCCCGATTGCCGTCCTGCGCGCGGTCCGTTTTCGCAACGTTTGTCACTCGCACCTCTTCTGCCGGCCTAAGCCGCGCACGCCGCCGTACTTCGCACCTCTTTACGTCACAGTTATGCCACGATAATAACGGCAGCCGCCGCAGAAATCGTTAGACCGTTGCGCTTATTATCTGTCGCAATATGGCTTACTTGGACGCGCAAGCGACCGCATCAACGTCTTACGTCGCGTCTCGGTGCATTAAACGATTATGTGGGTCAGGGTCGACGTCTGCTTATCCCGCTCGCGTATGTTCTGCGCCCGTCTCGATTCCGAGGTATCGATATACCCGGTGTCACCACGCGGCGGGGCACCGCTCCCCGCATAGTCAATCGAAATCGCGATTCATTCCGTCGACGACAGATTCTGTCGCAACTTTGTTCGGAGGAGGTGCAGAATGAGATCGAACGACTGTCAAATTGGCTTTCAGGCTTTCGCGGCTGTTGTCTTCTTTAGTCTTCATGGCTTCCGGAACGACTGTCAAATTGTTTGTCCGCCTATTCCGAGCCATTGCGGTGAGCGGCATAAAGAATTAGTACACTCTGAGTTCTGCTCGGGAGCTTTTATCAAGCTGCTGGCTCGACTGTCCGGTTTTACGCCTGGTTCCACCAGATTTCTCTCGCAAAAGTCGACTGGTATCGATTTTTCCACCTTTTCTTCTACGTCGCGTTGACACGAGCAGCTTTACCCGTTAGTTACCACGTTGGTGGACCATTTCCATGATATCCGTGATATCCGCCAGCGAGCATGATCGCTCTTTTCTATCCGCGAGAAAAAAAAAGAGAGAGAGAGACGGGAGGGAGAAACCTCGTGTAACACGCGAGACGTCGGGTTTCTACCAGATATCGAAGGCGCCCGTCATCAACTTGTACACTTGAGGATATTAAGAAATGCAGGATGCAATCACCTACTTTCCGTCGCGTATCTTCGTAATCAACGAAAGCGGAGAGGAGCTAAAAAGAGCGACCCGGTGCCCGGTCGCCTCTTTCGCCGAGAGGCGTCGGACATCCGCTCGACGGCGAGAAGTGTCTCCGAGAAATCGCGCGTAACGCGGAAGTCGCCGTTAATTTACGCGCCCCTCCTTTCTCGTCTCTTCGCGCGACAAGGCCTGAAAAGGAAGAAACGCCTACACCTGATCGGTCGTGTCGCGCCGCATTCCTGTGGCAGGTCGCCGGTGCACGACGGGAGAAACCCGTTTACTTGCGTGCTAACAAAGATCGATCGCCTTTCGTATATCGCGCGATAACATCGGCGAAAAGAAGGAAACGCGAGCGGCGCGGAAACGAAGGAATAGAGAAGCGCGAAAAATGAATTCGCTTGAACGAGATCGCTTCTTGCGATTACCCGATCTACCTCGAGGGACGCAAGAAGCTTGGATCGCATCCCTGTAGACGCTTAGAAAGACGATTCGAATATTTATCACGGAAACGATAAGAAGATAGATACGAAAAGCGTCAAACGCCGGCAATAAACACGTACGATAGCTTCCGGTCCGAGGATACGAAAAAGCGATGAAATAAAACAATTATCTTTATTTTTCCACGTGATCATTCTTTATTCCGACGCGTCTTTTAAAATATAAATATAAATTTTTTACACCATTAGAAAATATTCGGAACCGTTGTCTTAAAACTTGGTTTAACATTGCGGAGATCGCTTCTTCGACGGCGATAAACTTTTTTCGCGCTGAAATCGAACTTCAGCTTTTTTAAATTATTAGTAAATCAACTGTCTTTTTATTAGTAAATTATTAGTAAATCAATCGTCAACGATCGATGTACGAATTGCTCGTTTGATCTGCAGATCGACCAGAAGCCGCACCAGAGGGTCAATCATCACGAGAATCACGTGTCCCAAATTACGAAGACGATTCAGTCGCAGGCAAATCACGCGAATCACATTCAGTCCCACAATCATTCGAATCACGTAATCTCCGAGCACGAGAACCACGTACCGATCGGTCGCGTGCCCAACCACGTGTCGGCCGTTAATCAGGCGAATCATCAGAAAAACCTGCAAAACCAGCAGCTGAGTCCGAGTCACGAGTGGCGGCAGCCGGACGACAATGTGCGACTCCAGGAGGACGGTATCTACGAGAGCGGGCCGGTGGTCAACGACGGCAAGCATTCCCTCTTGCAGTACGCCATGCTGAACTTCCGCCAGAGCACAGAAAAGTGAGTCAATATTTCCGACACAACTTGAACAACGCGTTTCTAGAGTGACCCCAGGTCGAAAATACCTTGACTCACTCGCCTTTCAGAAAATCGATTTTGTTTAAAGGATATTAAATACATATATTTGTCATAATTCGAACTGCTGAACAGAAAAGTGAGTCAATATTTCCGACACAACTTGAGCAACGCGGTTGCAAAGTGATCCCAGGTCGAAAACACCTTGATCGGCTCGCTTTTAGAAAATCCATTTTGTTTAAAGAATGTTAAATATATCACAGTTCCAACTGCTGAGCAATTTTAAATTTTTGTCACTTGTCAATTAAGAGAGAAACGATCTGTTTAATTGATCGAGAGATCGCGAGACGAGGCGTCTAATCAAAATATATTTGTTCCTTTCTAAATTCTGGCCCTAAGTGCAGGACGCGCGAACTCGTCAATCGTATGGAAATTAATGCGAAGCAACTATTAACGTTGTTACGCAAGCGAGTCGTGTTGAGAAAGCATAACGCCGGCCCACGATATCGTTTCGACCGTGCACATTGCACACCGCGGGTGTCTCCTTTTCCCGTGTCGCTTCTGGTTCCGTACTTGCGGCGACCGCGGGCGAGCGTGCGGAGTAACGAACGCGTCGTGCGCAGATTCGAGATGTTGAAGACCGCGGACGGGTCGATCAGCGGGTCCCTCAAGGTGATCGAGTCGTTGAAGAGCAAGAAGAAGAACAAGAAGGGCAAGGGCCAGCAGGACGGCACCGAGTGGACCTGGAAGGAACAGGTGGACCTCGTCAAGTACTCCACCATCCCCATCGAGCAGAGTCTGCTCAGACTGGATCCGGACCTGAGCGTTTTAGCTGTGGAGTGCTTCCTGTGCCTGATGAGGTACATGGGGGACCAACCGTTGCCGCCTGAGACCAGCGAAGTCAAGTGCGTCTACACCGTCCTCATGGTAAGATTGCGGCTTCGTACAAAATTCAAATTGACAAACTGGAGGTAGGGCCAATGTAAGCCAAATTTTATCACGAAGATAAAAAGAAGTAAAGACAGGAGACAACCGCAACGGAATGACTACGTTGCAAATAAGAAAATCACATTATTCCTCATTTACTTTGGACTAAGGAAGACCCGAGTATAAGGTGAAAATTATTTTCAATCGAGGACCATTAGAAGTACATAAGCAATACAATTGGATGGGATTAAAGGCACATAAAAACGGAGCATCCGTGGCTTATATTGGCCTTAGGATTAGAATCACTTTCGATTTGATCGTCTCCACGTAGAAACGTGAATACGAAACGAAAACTATTGCGCATTTTCCTGAGCGTTGAGTCACTTTCGCACACTGCCCGTATCTTCGTGGATTTACCTTTGAAATCCCTGGTAAGAAACGGAAATTGTTCATTATATGTTATTATCTGTCATTATCCCTTTGTCTTCTCGCGCTAATTTTAGCGAACGCTATTCTTTCCGACGCGCCGAAGGACGCGATTTTCTAACAAACCGTGTCTTCGCGCGTGTCCGCAGCACTGTCACAAGTACGAGCCGCTGCGCGACGAGGTTTACTGCCAGCTGATGAAGCAGACCACCAACAACAAGAGCCCGAATCCGGAGAGCTGCCAGCGCGGCTGGCGGATCTTCAGCATCATCGCCGCCTATTTCACGTGCAGCGAGGGCCTCAGACCCTACCTGACCAAGTACCTCGAGACGGCGGCGTACGACAAGCGTCGCGCCTACCACGGCACCGCGATGGTGTGCCTGCAGAACCTGCGGAAGACCGTGAAATACGGCGGGCGCAAGAACGTGCCCAGCGTGGAGGAGATCATGGCGATCAGCGCGGGCAGGAACGCGAAGAGGCAGATCTACCGGCTGCCCGGCGGCACCGAGCGGGTCATTAACACGAAATGCACGACCGTCGTGCAGGACGTTATTGAGGAGATGTGCAACGTCATCTCCGTGAGAAGCCCGCACGAGATGGATGAGTTCTCGCTGTACTGCATCGTCGACGGCGACGCGTTCACCATGCCGCTAGCCAGGGACGAGTACGTCCTTGACGTGACTACGGAGCTCCAAAAAAACCACCAGGTGTTCTACTTAATATTTTGCAGGTACGCTGGACTTTGTACGCTCCCCTGTTACGCAACTTCGGGGAATATCAGCTTTCCGGCTCGGCAATTCTAATTTCTATTTTAAATTTAATGGTGGTTCTATAATTACATTAAGTATGTATAGTAATTCTACACCTGCTGTTTACAATTAGTTACAAGTGCATAATAATTCTATAACTTCTATTTAAACATTTAATGTGCGCGCGAACTGATTAGTTCTTTCCCGCACACATTAAAGTTTAAATAGAAATTATCGAATTTCTTTCGCAGACGAATCTTTTATTTATACAGAAATATTTCTGCAAACTGACGGGATTGTTACTGTAAAAGATAAAGCCTAATATTGTTCACGACAATATGGAGTATAAGAGGCGAATAATATTAGAAATAGATTGTTTCCATGGGTTTCATGGTAATAAAAATTATTCCCTTTATTATATCGTAATATTGGAATAAATAATCCGAAAAAGGCGAGAAAATTCGGGCGAATTCATTTTAATATGAAAATACAAAAACCTTTGACGGCGTTCTTATGCGAAAGTAATGTTTTCCAAAAAAAATCCTTCTAGATCTGTCTGGTACTATCCTTTGCGGCTGGACGCAGCGTTGTACATAGAAGTCGTATTTAACCAAATCGCTCCCGATTACCTGGAGGGACTTTTGCTAGTCCTGCCCGGAGAACATTTACCTCAGGAAATAATTGTAAGTAGCCAACGTCTGCCTGAGAGCTCGGCCGGTTAAGATAAACGACCAATTAACGACATGCACGTTTCGCAGTATGACATGGCGCAAATAGCAGCGCTATTGCACAGAGCGGCTGACATGACGCACGAGCCCGCGACGAAGGAGATTAAATATCTGTTGCCAAAACCAGCGCTGAGCTTGAGGGAACCCAGGCCGCAACAGTGGTCGAACATGGTCCAGCAAGCCTGGAATAACGTTCAGCACTCTGCGGCGGCTGTTTGCAAGGCGCAGGTGCTCGGTAAGTCGACACGAAACTTCGAATCCAGATTACGTTTCGCGGCCTGGGAAACTTATCCTATTGAATCGTTTTCTCCTCATTCATTTTACAAATAACAACCAATGACAACACTTAACGCAATAACTTCAGTATCTTCTTGACCATATCTGGTGTTTTTAATAATACAGAAAATTTATTGCGAAAAATTTCACCTCAGCCAGGGTTTGAACCTGGACTTCCCTACACTCTAGGTGAGCGTCTCGCCAATTCGACCACTGAGGCATGTGGTAATATTTATCGCAATAACAGTGTAAAGATGTTATCTTCGCGTCTATTTTTCGACTTTAAACTGTGCTCCGATTCGGGTTGTCGGCAATAAATTTTCTATATTACTAAAAACGCCAGATATGATCAAGAAAATACTGAAGTTGTTAATGACTGCTGGCGACTTGAAGAATATTCTTAATATTTAACGTAATATTACATTTAAAAAATTGTTTTTTATGTACCACATATATGAGCGATAAAAGGAGGTGTCTCGCCCCCAAAAATTCGCTTCAACATCTGTAATATATAAGCGCAAACTCAAACAGTAGCAATTTAATGAATTGTTGTTTGGCACAAGTACAATATTACCGTTGGCAAATGGATTAAATCACGCATGCGTTTCCTTCTCCTTCAGAAATATTGTCCAAGTGGCCACTTTTCGGCTCGAGCTTCTTCGCGGTGAAGAGGGTGCCGGAGGGCAAGGAAAAGGGCGCCGATCACATTCTCGCTCTCAATCGACACGGAGTGCACTTCATAGATCTGATCACGCACGTAAGTAGCCCCTGCGCCTCGTCTTCCTCCGCGTAACGGCGTCCTTTCCTCCGCGTGTGATTTAACCGGCCGGCGTGTTTCAGGAGACACTGTACCATTACCCCTACTCCGAGGTGATCTCCACCAGGAAGGTCAAGTCCGAAGAGGGCACGCTCTACCTCGACATGAAGTGCGGCAATCTGATGCAGCAGCGTATCACCAGGCTGCAGACGGAGCAGGCCCACGAGATCTCCCGCCTCATCAGACAGTACATCACCATGGAACAGAGGACATCCAACGCTCAAGGGGGAGCCGGCATCGGGCTCGGCATGAGATAAGCGTCCCCGTGACGCGGCGTTCTTCCTTCGCGACCGACATCCGATCCGGATTAGTCAATCTGCAGGGCGGTAACCAAAGCCCTCGATTAACGTACCGTAACGCAGCGATATGTCGCGAGTGTAGCCAGTATAAGTCACGGCATTGTTCGTAACGTGAGCTGCGTAAGGTACCGACCTTGAGCTGAAGCTACAGTGGGTACCAAGTAGGATAAGCCCGTCCCAACGTACCGGTCCGTGCCCTGACGGACGACGGCCCAGCTAATCCGTCATCGGGGATACTTGTAGGACTCGCTGGAAGGAAGGATCGTGAAGGAGAAGAACGAATGCTCAAGTATCTAAATCGTCCATCTCGCATGACTCGAAACGACGGACTTGTATAGCATTTATTTATACGTTTTAATGAGTTCATAAAGGAAATAAATGCGAATAGAAATTACGTACATCGCGGCGGTGTAATATTAACACACTGATATTAACACACGTCCCTGATGAGTGTTGAACAGGTGACTAACCATGCAGCGGTTATATGTTATCATCAGATTATTAATAATAATTGTACGTATATGCATATAGAAGTATGAGATGTGAACGAGAAGATATTAACTTTATATTGAAATTTTTACGTCTAAAAGATGTGTTATTCCTTCCCGAGTTTTATCTCGCAATCCCGACTGTCGCACAGGTCTGCAAAGTAAAACTTAAAAAGATAACGCACACGTCAGCTAACGGAAGATATTGAGAGGCGCTTGTCAAGCGAAATCATTGCAGTCCTGTGATCCAGCTAACTTTCTAGTTTATTTATAATTAATTGTTTAAGTATAAATGCGTTGTGGCACCTCGCGTGTGTGTCTGATGCACAATAATTAAGTCCAAGATCCATTTTTTGCTTAAGTGTCTTAAAATTCAAACTCGAGTCGAATCAAATGAGTCTCGTCTTAATTATATACGGATAACAATTTTTTTTTGAGAATGTAAAATCTTTTTGGACTTAATGAGTTTTATCCCTTGTGTTACGTTTCTATCATATACAAAAAATCTTATAAAACATCGAAGAGTACATAATACCAACGATTGCACCTTGCTTTAATCCTTTCATGCCTAGATTACTTGTAAAAATATTTAACAAATCAGCAGGGTCGGAAAGTAACTTGTTACTTGTAACAAAGTTACAGTTACAGTTAGTTTTTTTTCGGTAACTCTAGCTTGATTTCGTTACTTTCTCTTCAACTGAAACTTAACTCAATTACATTTTTTCGATAACTAGTAACTAATGTAATAGTTGCATTAATAGTTAGCTACTTTATATATTTTTTAAACCTCCACAGATCGCATTAGGTCTTGCATTTGCGCATAAACGCCTTTAGCGACACTTTACAATTCAAATGGAGATTTGATATTTTTATATTTTCATTGCAAGAAAGTAACTGTAAAGTATCGATTCGTCACTTTTCAGAAACGGTAACTTGTAACTGTAATTAGTTACATTTTTATCGAAAAATCCTGTAACTGTAACTGGATTTTAGAAAGTAACTTTCCCAACCTCGCAAATATCAGATTACAGAGATAGCAGGATATATAAATAGGTATTTATAAAATTAGTGAAGACGAAACCCTGAACGAGTTTTCATTATTCGTTTTACTAATTCGAGAAAGAACCAATTAATGTTCTTACTAAACTAAAATTGGCCGATAAATTTTTTAATTGGAGAAAGAACCGCGTGTGCACGAAAGGGTTAAACTTTAATGTTCCAAACTGTGTCGCGGCGTGCTCGACTTAACGTCCTGCGGCCAGTTACTTGCAGTGTGGCGAACGTATCCCGGATCGGTCGGCGAGTACGGCGCCCTTGCGGTTTGCGTGCCGGTGGTTCTCAGTTCGCCCAAATATTCCTCCAGCATCTCAAGGTCGCCCTTGGATCTTCTGGACCGATAGTCCTTGGGCGGAGGTGGCACGTTGAAGGACACGTCGCGGTGATGACCTTTCAGGATCCCGGCTGAGCCGCGCATCCTGATGGGCACGTTGTCGTACTGGCTGTTGTCCGAATATCTGCTCGGCGTTGAAACAAAATTATATTTAAGCGCCGGCACTCCATGCGTCACGCATCTTGAATCACACACCGTCGGGAAAGAGGAAGCGAACGATTCTGACGACTCACGTCCGCGCGAGTGAGTCTCCATTTCGGCGTATTTTAATTGAGTAAGACAATCTGAGTAAGATTTCCAGTTCCCAATTGTTTTGTAATACTGGACAAGTAGAAACGCGAGATACGCGGCAATTAACTCACACGATTTAACGTCTCGCGTAAATCGGTGAAGATAAAAGTAGAAAAGACTCAGGCATTTTAGAATCGATTTCTCACTTCGAAGATTAGAGATTCGCAGCCTCGACGAAACGCGCGATGTACTTTTTTTTATGTCAAATTATTTGTGCGAGAGGCAAGAATCGTTTTCGTGGTCCCAACAGCGCGATCCAAGATGGCTGACGCGGGCATTGGCGACGCTGAAATGAAATATCCGAACCGAGGACGAGACTCCGGACGCGAGAAATCACCTGTTGTGGTTATTGATCGCCTCCTCGACGTCTCGCTCGACCCTCATGATCTTCACGCTCGGATTGACGAGTCTCGCGAAGACCGGGTCTCCCTTTTCGTACTCCGTCGGGAACCGCGGCGTGTCGATCTCGTCGACCGGCCGCTGATAGATGTCCCGGCTCTTGTATATTATCCTGGACTCCTCGAGCCTGCGATCGGGATCGTACACGATCGTGCGCGGCACCTCGATCTCGCGGAACCGCTGCGAGTCGCGTGCAGCTCGGCCGTTCTCCAGATTCTCCCTCGGCTCCTGGTCGCCGCGAAGTTCGCGATCGTCCTGCGTGTCCTGCGGACGTCCACCGGACGATTCCTGCTGCGATCTCGCGGGACCGTCCGCCTTCTGGAAAGCGTCGTTCACGCGACCGTTCTCGTCCTCGGGCATCTTGACGACGGCTGACTTTGGCTTTTTCGTGTCCTCGGCGGTCACCACCGGCGTCACCTTGCGCTTCCCTGTTTGAGGACACGCCATTTTTTGAGGATAGGTGGATCATTGCGAAGTCTCATTCGCGAATACAAACAAAGTATTCGTTGTACAAAGTATTTTTTATAAAATTTGTTTTAACCAACACTCGTACCCAGATCTTTGTCGATGATTCGCGCCTCGTCCTGCCTGTCCTTCTTGCGGGGCGGACTCATCAGCAAATCCCCGATGAATACCAACGCTGTGAGCAGGCACAGCGCTCCCAAAACCGCGGCATTGTCAACCAGGTCCTCGGGGACGCTGTCGATGGACGCCAGCGACAAGGCGCCGACTATCCCGAAGAGAATCACACCCAGGCCGAGCAGGAAAAATTCCTGAGATTCAATCGGGCTTGTTAGATCGCCGTTACACCTGCGTGATCTTGTAGCACGGATGCGATCTATTTACGCGTGGCGCAGCCGATTGATTATGCATGACAACTTTTATTACAACGAGCGACCTTGCGGCAAAAGAAGAAAAAAAAAGGAGAAGCAAAGGAGGAAAATAATCGCCGCGCAAAGCATATAATGTACGCGTTACGGGCTCGGGGGTTCGATTCTCGAATTCATTCGAAAGAGAAACGTATGCGAAAATTCTAGGGGTCAATTCTGACTAAAAGTGGCTTCGTCTCTTTCTAAGGGGACGATTGGAAAGAAACAAAGCTACTCGCTTTTTGCTATAGTGTAAGATACAGAATTGACCCCCCGCTCTCACGGAAAAGTTGAAAGTCGACTGGTCAAAAACCATGCGAATAGCTAATCAGCTTGCAACTTTTCTGTAAGAGCAGGGAGTCAATTCTGTATCTTACACTATAGTGAAAATGCTAAAAGTGAGTAGCTTTGTCTCTCTCTAAACGTCCCCTCAGAAAGAGACAAAGCCGCTCACTTTTAGCATTTTCACTGTACTGTAAGATTATATACAGAATTGACCTCCAGAATTTTCCTACACTCTCTAAAAGTCAATCAGTGCATTATAACTGCGAATCAGTGAATATTCACTGTTTTCAGTGATAATCCACCGATTGACTTGCAGAGAGTACAGTGCGGTGCATTAATTCGCTTCGGCTCGTATTGTCAAAAGGTATCTATACACTGAGAGACCCATTTTTTGTTGAATGAAACAAAGTTTAGTTGACTCAACTAAATTTCTTGTTTGGATATGAGCAAACAAATCTTTCAGTTGATACAACAAAATTTAGTTGGAAAATTTGGTTACATCAACACGCAAATTTGGTTGAGTGAACATGTGCAGAATCCTTTTACAATATTCAACTAAACGATTCAATCAAATTATTTCGTTTCATTCGACAAAATGGGTCTCTCCGTGTATGTTTAAATAATGACGTAATTTTTGTCCATCCCCAATTATTACCCGAACCGAATTGATGCGCCGTACTGTACGCTTCTCCTTCGAGTGAACTCAAGAATCGAGCCGCGGGGATCGGCACGCGCGGTCGCTGCGGTTTTCGATAGATTTATTTATCGGAAGACAGGCGTGCAGGAAATCTACGCATTACGCCAGCCCGCTCAAGACCTGCTGGTCCCAGCCTCAGTCGTGAGTCATTAAATGAGTTACATTACGTGTCGCGTTACTGAACCAAGGCTGCGATTACGTGGACGCCGCAGCGGCGGGGCGAGCCTCGCGCTCGCGTTAGGAGCATATTCTTATCCTTGGCCCCGTCAATGGCACCTTCGGCGTCGCGCTACCGATTTTCTCACGCCGCCGCATACGCGCACGCGGTGTATTTTCACTTGCCAACCAACCTCGGAATAAATTAAGAGCGCCTGGGAAGGATCTCGGCGCGCCGTCGAAACGAGTCCTGCCCGCGCCATCGCGTCGCTCTCCTGCGTCACGCGTGGAAATTCTTCTCGCCGGGGTTATTCTCGCGCGGCGGAAGAGCGTTCTCGCTCTCGCTGACAGGATGACTCCGCGCGACTTATCGCGGTATATTATTAACGATAAAAATTCGTAGAAAAGCAAAAGTCTTATTTTATTGTATAAATATCTTCGGTTCTTCTTTCTTTAAAAAAAAAACTGCAAAAAAACCGTATGTATGTACAAACGTGAAGAGCTCGTCTCCAGGAGAGCTCGTGTCAACTTTCTTTTTTTTAGACGAAGGCGGAGTCCGGAGATATGTCGACGCCCCATCTACCAATTCAGAGAAGCAACTTTGTCCAAAATAGACTGATGCCTTTTTTGGAAGTGTGTATGTACAGTGACGGACAGAATCGTAGCGTAAAAAGAAAGGTGAACCATTGTGCATAATGGCGGAGGTCTAAAATCTTCGACCAGTCAGAGCTCGAGCTTTTAGGCAACGCGCTGTTCAATGTGATTCTTCAGTAAGCAGCCATATTGAATTTCGCATAAAAGCTTAAAACGTAATTGGCTGACTGCTCCCCACTACTCTTATCCTACTGCACATCTATCGGCATGGTCTCACCTTTCTTTTTACACCATGGACAGAATGGTTGCGACACTCTTTTAGGTTCCAAAATCTTCTTCTCCGAGGAATATTTTACTCGACGGCCATTCCGAAGCCATTTTGAGCGTTTTCGATCTATTTCCCGGGTAAAATTTTCCTCGGAGAAATGCGCGTTTCTAAACCCACTAAAAGGAATATGTCGAAACCATTCTGTCCATCACTGTACAGAGATAGATCGAATGATTGCGACATTTAAAAAAAATGCATTTAGAAACACGCATTCAGGTTTACGTTTCAAGATCTTCGTCGAGGAATATTTTACTCGATGGCCATTCCGAAGCCATTTTGAGCGTTTTCGCTTCCCTCAGAGAAAATGTTTTGGAACGTAAACCTGAATCTAAATGCGCGTTTCTAAACTCACTAAAAGGAAAGTGTCGCAACCATTCTGTCCATCACTATGCGCCAGGAATCACTGATGCCTTCCCACATGAATTCGTGCACATATCAACACATTTATACATTTTGCACATACATGAAAAGTGTATACATATGCATTCCACATGCGCCAGCGTACAAATAAGTATACGCCACGATTTCTCTTCCTTTTTTTTTACAGTTATACGCTCCCCTAATCTCGCTGTACAATCGACAGTCCGCCGACGTCGTTATGGTTCCATTGAGGGTGTTACGAAACGCCGCTGCGACGCATTCCATGCCGCGGAAAAGGAGGGCGAGGGAAGAAGAAAAAAGGCAAGAGCTATTACCGTCTTTCGGCCGTGGAGTTCCCCGGTGGCCGCGGCGATCAAAAGACCCGTCGTTACGATGACGTATCCGCCGCAGGTCGCCGTCGCGAGGGCGGCGCCTGAAACACACGGAAATGGAGAGATGAGTGTGTCGCGAGAGAGAACCCGGGGCATCCGGGTGTCTGCGGATCACGGTGCGCAAAGCGAGGTACCTATGCTGCCCCACGTCACGTTGTTCAGCAGCGACCACTCCCTGCTGCGATTCCTCAGGTAGTGGAACACCCTTCGGCTCTCATCGTCCGTCACTCTAAGCGCCACGACGCACGCGATGCACAGGAGCTGCAATCCGACGCACACAGATTTCCTCCTGATCCTTCGAATCTTAAACTCCGTGGACGGCGTTCGGGGAATCGCGAAGCCCCGATATCGTTTTGATAAAATACCTCGATGCTCGCGAGGCGACGCGCGCACGGAAGCTGCTTTGATGCACACGACCTTTCTAATTTTATAATTTTGTAGACGGTGTCGGAGAATCGCGAAGCCCGATATCATTTTTTTGATAAACTATTCAATGCTCGCGAGGCGACAACGGACAACACGGAAGCTGCTGATCCTCTACGTTCGAGGTACACGGCCTTTCCAATTAAAAAATTTTGCAAACGGTGTCGGAGAATCGCGCAGGCTTCGATAGCGTTTCCGATGAAGTGCTTTGCTATCAGTAATTTACTGATAAAAAAAGTTCGAGCTAACATGAAAACATATCTTACGCCAGTCCCGTCTCATTATTGTCACGGATCGTTACGCTAATCGATAATTGTTTCAGCATAATTATTGCTGCTGGTGCACATACAGTGATGGACAGAATGGTTGCGACACGGTTTTTTTTATGCGTTTAGGAACGTGCACTTAGAATCAGGGTTACGTTTCAAAATCTTCGTCGAGGAATATCGATGGCCGTTCCGAAATTTTGAGCGTTTTCGATCTAGTTTTCGAGTAAAATCTTCCTCAGAGAAAATGCTTTGGAACGTAAACCAGGGGGTCATTTCTGTACCTTACACTATAGTGAAGATACTGAAAGTGAATAGCTTTGTCTCTTTCTGACCGTCTCCTTAAAAAGAGACAAAGCCGCTCACTTCTAACGTTTTCACTATATTGTAAGATACAGAATTGACCCCCTGAATCTAAATGTGCGTTCTTAAATTCATCAAAAAATGTGTCGCAACCATTCTGTCCATCACTGTACACGATTGTTAACTCTAGACTTGGCTGACTTCAGACTTGGCTATCTTTCCACAGGCAGAATGAAAAATAAATAGAAGAATGAAAGTAGATGGAAAATAGAGGAAAGGCCCCAATTATAAGATTGGCTCCTAATAAGAGATATCGGGATTTCTGTGAAATCAATAGGCCTCGTCTGTTGATTCCACCATAAATTTGTTACCCTTGGAGCGAAATCTGTTTAGTAGAAAATTGGTAGATCGTGCAATCGTTGCAAAAAAAATTGAATTTGGGTGCTGAAAACTTGTTATCTCACAATAAAGGACTGTTCTCTACTGATGAGTTAATTTTTGAAATCTGTGTGCACTCGAGGGACTGTGCAACTTTGAAATCTGAACGCGCTAAAGTTCCGTTGATCTCGACGAACGTAAAATCACTAAGAATCAAACACGTCAATCGCGAAATTGATCTTCACGCGCTGAACTGAAGAACCGCGTCTACGTACCACTTCGACTATTCTGATGAACACCTTGCGGTTCCACATGATGCGACCACTGAAGAGGCGCTAACAGACGAACTAAAGGAACGGGGAACGAGCGGTCGTTTGCGAAAGTGTCGTCTCTTTTCGGCGAAGCATTACGTGACTTCTCAGGCTATTAACAAACCGTTCTCATTTTCTTATGAAACGCCACTATTCGCGTTGACAATCGGCTTCCGTCGTGAGGATACGTCCATTGGCAGTGGGGTTGAAAAATTTAGTCACTTCCTGGTCGAAGCGGGACCAAAGTTTCTGTGTGACAAGCGCGTAACGTATAAGGCAGTTTCCAAATTTTATTATGAAAAAATTTACAATATCTCAAAAGGGGTGATGTTATTTTTTTATATACACCTGCTACCGCTAATCTGCGAAATAACAATCGCAAAAGATGACAGAACGTTTGACGAAGAACAAAGTTTACTCAAATCACTTCAGGCACGAGATACAATTTTCCTCAGCATCGATTTAAAAAAAAATATGATTTCACATATGAAGCAAATAGCAATAGAACAAAGTATAAACTGTACTTTACGGAAAAAAATTAATTTCCTCGAAACGCCGCGGATTCAATAAAACGCGGATGTTGCGTTAAACGATATACGAACGCGTTTTTCTCTCAACTTTTCGAGATCATCCGTAATCAGTTCTGTATCTTACCACTATAGTGAAAATGCTAAAAGTGAATAGCTTAGTCTCTTTCTAGTCGTAATCTTAAAAAGAGACAAAGCCGCTCACTTTTAGCACTTTCACTATATTGTAAAATAGAAAATTGTCTCGCGAAAATTGTCGGGTGTTAAAAAGTTTTTATTTAAGAAAGTCTAAATTGTTAGTTTACGTCGCTTCGAACGTTCTATCGCTATCACTAGGCGCTCTAGTTGATAATGGAAACCAGTATATTATCACCTGCAGCAGGCACGACGGGTAACGCGGAAAACGGAGACTTCGCGTCGCGACGCGCTCGAGCGACGACTGAGGAGAAATACAGGCGCAGTTACCCAGGTTGGCGGCACCGTGTGTCATGTAATAAGGACTGCCTGCATGCGAACGACACAAGTAACAATGCTATTATCACACGATGCAATGGCGCAGGACGATGCGAACCTGCGGATATGTGTCACGGAGAGGCTCGTCGCGCGCGCACCTTCGCACCTTGAACCCGTTCGCAACGCTCGCCGAGTCTCCCTACTGTCTTCGGGCACTTTACACCTCGCGAGAAAAGACGAGAAAACGAGATTTGAATCTCGCGATGGCACTCGGCGATTTTCGTGGGATTTAAGAAAATGAGCAGCGCACGCGTTCGAACCGCGTAGGAATTTTCATTTTGCGCCCAAATATAAAGGAGACAATTTCGGACAAGCAGACGCGTATATAAATTCAAATACAACATAACTTAATTTAAACTATATAATATTTTAAACCACCGCAAGACACTTTACAATTCAAACGCAGACTCGATATTTTTATTTTCATTGCAAGAAAGTAACTGCAAAGTAAACGGCGAATCGTTACTTTTCAGAAAGCTTGTAATTGTAACTAGTTACAATTTTAGCGAAACAACCTGTAATTAGATACTTTTATAAAGTAACTTTGCCAACCCTAGTTATACATTTTTGTGCACTCGTCGCTCGGCGGAATTGCATTACGACGTCCCCGGCCAGTCGCGTTTGTCTATCACGCACACTCTCTACTATTTCTAATCTCTTTCTTAGGTTGGTATTCATAGTCCGTTCTTATATTTAAGATCGTCTTAAGTATACTCTTAATGTGGGAGCTTTCCAGCAAGCGGCACGAGTCGACACAAATGTCGTTCTGTCTTTATTATTCATTGAACGCGAAGAAAGACAGAATGACATTTGTGTCGACTTGTGTCGCTTGCTGGAAAGCTCCCTGTGTCTTCAACCAATCGCAGAGCCGTATTAGCGTCTTAAGACAACACTTGAGATGATTTTGAATTAAGAATCGACTATGAATACCGGCCTTAAATGCCCCGGTAGCATGTTCTCTAATATCTTGAAAATAAATGTACACACATTGTAATATGGTCTCTGTCTTACAGCGAGTTCGGTTGCCTGCGCTAGTGCGCACTCTTGAAATTTGACCATATAGAGTCAAAGTCCGCGTCACTGTTTGATAGTCTTCTTCGACCACTACAACTTTTGTCTACATTTTTCGCGATTTTGCTTCCTTTTCGAGAAATCGAGGTGCGAAGATTAAAATGGTATATCCTGTATATCAGAGACAGAGTGAGAGAAAGAGAGAGAGAGAGAGAGAGAGAGAGAGAGAGAGAGGA